CGTGCGTGACAAACTCAGGTAAGCAACAACAACAATAAAATAAGGAAAAATAAATAATTTTAGGATGATTAGCACTTCAATGGGTAATCGGTAAAAAGACAAAGGAAAAAAGAACACGAAGTGGTGTAAGTAAGTTGTAAGTATCCATCTATTAAAAATGTGCCATTGGAGAATKGWCGAGATTTCTATTTTTCTTATTTTTGTCTGATTTATGGTGATACAGAATTATACTATTTTTGGTGATAAAATTATAAAACATGGTAAAATAAATGGACGCACCGTAGCTCAGCATGAATAGAAATATTTTGTAAATCCGTAACTCCGCGCATGCACCGTATCTCCGCATGGTCGAAAAAAACGAACGCACCATATCTCCGCATTCTAAAATATTGTAAACCCCAAAGGTACACATGCCATAAAACTGATATAATATAAAATTGATGGCATATTATAGCCTATAGGTAATACCCAATATATTTATTTTCCTAGTGTGTAACGTTTACGGGACTAATTCAGTTCTTTATACCTACATTATCTGAGTAGTAGTTGCTTAAAATATAATTGTTAAAATTAACAAACAACTGTGAGTCTTTTCATGCCAAATTTGGTGATTTATTTAGGTACTTCAACACATCCAAATATTGGAGTTTTCATCAAAAATGTATTAACAATGCAGACGGATGAATATACGAATGAATTCTACCAATAATAATGAAAGTAGGATAATAATTAGAACACAATAAAAAAATAACATACAATTTATTAACAAAGAAATATAATTATATAACGACTACCAATTTGATAGGTTAGTTAATTTAATTTTAATTTACATTAGATATTTTATATTTTATTTTACCGACGACGACAATGTTTGTTGTAAATTGTCTTTATCATGATTATTATTATTATTATTAGTTTAGATTAGTCTGTTTAAGCCGTTTCAGGTATTACCTTTTTACTCTTAAATATTATTTTTATTTAATTTTAATAACATAATAATAAATTGTATTTAAAATTTAAAAATAAATAAATTTATACAATAATAAATACATAATATTATATGTATAATATAATATATTTATAATGTGTGCAGAGTTAAGGAGTTAAAAATTTTTTAATGCGGAGTTTAGGTGTTCAAAAAACCTTTTATTTTTATGTGAAGTTGAGGTGATATATTATAAAATGGCGGCAATACGTGCGGAG